TCAATAAGAAACGCGTAATATTTTCTCTGAATATGAGACAATTCTGTTTTTTACGGCAACTCTACTAACTAACCTTATGATTAAAATAAAGTTCAACATCAGTAACATCATAGCACCACCCAGCTGTATAGAAACTCGTACCCAGCACAATGAAAATAAACTCCACCTAAACTTGGTTCATATCTGACCCGGATAGACTGCAGGTCATAACTTCTTACCTGAAGTTCAGTTCTCCTGACACTCGGACCGGCGGCTGCCTCGGGTCTCTCCTCCTCCTGCCTCCCCTTTCCCTCATCCACCTGCTGCCTCCACCACTTGCTGATGTTACTGAATCTGTGGAAGCTCTGTGGAGCCTGTCTAAATCCCAGTAACGATTAACGCGTTCCTGATTTTGGCATAATAACTAGTTACCGTGCTCGTTACCACAATAATAAGGTAGTTATTAACGTAGTTAACTAGTCCCTACACTGGTAATAACACAGATAGAAATGAATAAATAAGCAGAAAAGATTCAAATGAACAAGATGAGCCTACTGAGATTCTGTACAGCTGCTCTTTGTCAAAGGAAATGTTAATGAGTTTATTTCACTACAACTAAGGAGGCAAGCCCGACTCCTGAAATTCAACCCCCCATCATAATTCCCCCCTCCACCAAACTTTCCACCTGGCACAGTGCAATCAGAGAAGTAACGCTCTGTTGGCAATCACCAAAGCCAAAGTCCAGAGAACAGGCCTCCAGTAGAGGGCAGCATGCTTTACATCACTGCATCCAACACTTTGCATTGTGGTTGGTCATGTAGGGCTTGTATGCACACAATCTGCAGTTGAGAAAAGGTGATAATAATCAGTATATGTTATTGCAATACCGCATATCACAACATTTCTGAAGTTGCAAATGTGTCGTTTAGTGAGTGAAGTATGGTGAGAATGTCGTATCCTGGGGTCTGTGTTGATTTATACCTGTAGCGAGTTAAGACAGAGATGTGAACGTACTAACGAGTGAAGAAACGTGTTGAGAAGGATGGAGGACAGTTAGTAGTTAGTAGAGGATTGATGAAGAGGAGGGCAGCTGTGAAGAGGATGAGTTGGTACAGATGTTGGTACCTGTGTAGTATGGACCAAATTGTTTGACACAAGCTTAGAGAGTGAGAGGATGCCCGAGGAACAGATTTGTACGTATTTATTTCCAGGAACAAGGGTGATGTGCAGAGCTCAGATAGGATCGAGTTGTTGAAGCTGGGTTAAGAAGAGAGGCGACTCTCATTCTTTCTCGGCATGAAGCCCAACTGCTGGTTGCTGTGTTGATGGACACAGATGAAGTCAGCGTCCATAGACCGTGATGTTTGAAGACAATACTGAGATCTGTAGTGAGGCAGGAGGTAGATGAGAGAACGGAAAGTTGGCGGTCAGTGAAAACAAGACAGAATGTGTGTAAATGTGAGGCAGGTATAACAGTGACGTCATACAGTGCTTACGAGACGACTGCGAGACCTGCGATGATGCATGGCTTTGAGATGGTGCACTAATAACAACCAGGATGGATGATTAGAAATGTATTCCTGTCCTTGAGTAGTCTGAGCTGTTGTTGTTCTCGGTCCTGACTTCATTTGTGCGAACAACAACAGGAGGGGTTAGTAAAGAAATGATTTGTGCTTCTCGTCCATCGAGAGTACAGGGAACAGAATCAAAAGTAAAAGAAAATCACTTTTGCTTCTGTCTTCAGGTCCTGTGTTTGTTGTTCTGCAGTTTGAACTATTGAAATAAAGTCACAAAGCACAGAAATGAATT